GGAGATGTGTGTGTGTTTTGGGTGACGCTGTGTGTAGTTTGGTGGGTAGGTGGGCAGTGAAGTTTTGTTCAGAGGGGCTCATTGCAACTATTCAACGTCTGCTGACTCAACAGCTTCTTGGTGTAGGAAGGGAGGAGGAGGAGGAAGTGATAGCAGCAGAGAATGAATCGGATATAGAGCAGAGAACGATATAGGGGCTGACACAACTTGACAGTGTGCGAGTCAAATCTCATTTGTTCGACTTCCAAGTTCAACAAGTTCCGAGCCATCAGATGACGACTGCTGCAAGGGCTACGAGACCAATATGAATGCTCTACAACAATGATAAAAATAACTGCCACCTCTTTTAACATGAAACGAAATTGTTGTCAGCAGTAAATTAATGTTGATGCCCTCCATACATACACTTGAGTCTGTGATTGAAAGGGGTGCTGCTACCAATAACACGCACAAGGGCCGACATGCCCAGAGTGTTAAACCAGCAGTACACCCTGGCCTGATCATCCACTGTGCGCCAACCTTTTCCAAACCACCAGCGGTGCACTTTTCCGAGTAATTGTTTTCTCTTTTGGCCGGTGCCACCAGCCGTTGTGTTCCAGGAGTCCCGAGCCTTTGAATTTTTTGGAGGGGACATATTTCTTATGAGACTTAGGGGGGGGGGGGGGGGGCAGGGGATGAATAGAACATTGGTTGTGGGATCACGAGTGTTTGCAAGGCATATTTGAGTCCCTCTACTGCCACACATATATTCTCTAACCCGTACTAGCCCATTGGTTATGGGACTTCCGTGTAAGCCTGATGATGCTATTTGAAACCACCAGTACCCAGTACCCCTGCAAGTTGCGCCGGGTATACAGCCAGCCAAATGAAAAAAACGGCCCCGTTTGAATTCCACTTCTGAATCATTGAGTTTGTACTAGCGCCCCCGGCCTGTTCATCCCGAAAGTTGCAGTGTGGCCGTATACACGCCTAAACTTTGCTCAGGTACTGGTGGTTTAACAAACTGACACCGAACTGGAACAATGCCTGCCGTACTTGTAGCAGAAGGGAGAGCAACATGACATTGTGTCCTTTTGCCGCGAACATTTTGTTTTTTTTGCCACCAAGGAGTTTGGCACGACATTCGTGAAATCGTGACTGAACTGCATTAATTTTTGAAACTGAAACTGTGACAGCGCCCTTGTTTGCCCTTTTGGCAAACATGCTGAGCACGAAAAATCGCCAAAGTAGACACTCTCTCTCTATTTGCAGACCATGCCGGGGACAAGGTCCCAGTATCGAAGTGGACAGGACTTAGTGCGTGTGTCTGGACATGGTTGAGGAGAGGTAAAAGTTCAGTACTGATATCATGCTTTTCTCCATATTATGTGCTTATAATCCAACACTCTTCAAGTTGCCAGTCAGTGGACCTTTGCCCCTGAGCCTAACTGCCACATGTGAAATGACGCACGTGCATGCGCCTTGACCCTGTGTGTTGTTCTGTTTTCTAAACCACCAGTTCACATAAGCCATAAGTTCACGAAGCTATATTATATTCCAAGGCCCGCGAGCCGGGTACTGTTTCGTTTCATTGTGGTCTTTGAAACTCACTACCGGCCCAGGCCTGAAGCGCCATGGCCTTAACCACGTAACCTGGCAAGTAAGAGTCTGACTGAACATCGCGCAAACTGCTGTGTTGAGGGGGGATGCACAAAATGATATGTGACCTGTCCTCCGCTCAAGTTCGGCTCCCTGCCACCCTCTGAATGCTGCCTTCAAAAAAAATTCACACTCTTTGCATTTAATTACCGTTTCGGTGTTGTAGACAGGTCGCCCAACGGTGGAAAGACCTGACCTGCCCATAAACATACCCCCTACAGGCTGCAAACTCATCTGAGGTGCACTGAGTAACGTGCTCAGCCTGGCGGTTTTGTGGGTCTGTGTGCGCGCAATGAAACCACCAGTACTTGGCCCAGCTATCGGCCGTGGCACTTTCCCGTTAACGAGCCGCGCCTTTAGGGCTTCAGGGTACCTGACCTCAATGGCTGGAAGCGCCAGCCAAACAATTTCAAAACGGTACCCCGGCGCTTCGGCAAAAATCGGCGCGCATGGGCATTCCAGGCTCAGCATCGATAGCTGGGCCAAGTACTGGGGGGTTAAACCATTTGACTTCCGGAGGTGACGACGTGCAAGCTGCTAGCTATTGCTACAGTGCCTTGAGGCGTCCATTTGAATGAATTTATGTCAGCACCCTAGGCACACTCATCCCAGCACGTCACAGCATGCGATGTCATGCATGCATGTGTCTGCAAATTTTCGAAGCACTGCCAGTGGTGGTTTAAATTCATGGGCAAATAGAAGTTGGGGTATTTTGTCCGATAATCCTAAATCATGGGGGCACAACGAATCACCCTGGGTTTCTGTTTTTGCCCCTGTTTTTGCCCCTGTTTGAGCCATCGGCAACTTTGCTATACGCCCTGCACTGCCTGCAGTGTGCTATGGACATCAGAGGCTGACACACCACTTTCGTCCTCTGCCCCTCTATTGGGCAGACATCTTTTCTGTGCGCCCCGCATCCAACTTGGCATGGTCTCAATTTGAATTCTCCAAGTGTTATTTTGTGTTGCTCTCTCTCTCTCTCTCTCTCTCTCTCTCTCTCTCTCTCTCTCTCTTGAATTCAATCGTCTTCTCACTAACATAACGCACCTTCATTATGGCTGTACTGGAGCGGAACGGTCCCTTGTTATCAGGGTGTGTTGTGTTCGGGGGGAAGATGGTAGTAGGCACGCTACCGTCTTCCACCGAAAACAACACACCCAGATAGCGAATGCAGAAAGCGATCTTTCTGGGACTGTACAGGCATAATGAGGGTGCGTTATCTTCGGGGGAAGATGTCCTCTCTCTCTCTCTCTCTCTCTCTCTCTGGGTGTACTGGAGCGGAACGGTCCCTTATCAGGGTGTGTTGTGTTCGCACTACCGTCTTCCAGCGAAAACAACACACCCTCTCTCNCACACCCTCTCTCTCTGGGTGTACTGGAGCGGAACGGTCCCTTATCAGGGTGTGTTGTGTTCGCACTACCGTCTTCCAGCGAAAACAACACACCCAGATAGCGAATGCATGTTCGGGGGGAAGATGGTAGTAGGCACACTACCGTCTTCCACCGAAAACAACACACCCAGATAGCGAATGCAGAAAGCCATCTTTCTGGGACTGTACAGGCATAATGAGGGTGTGTTATCTTCGGGGGAAGATGTCCTCTCTCTCTCTCTCTCTCTCTCTCTCTCTCTCTCTCTGCCTATCTATCTATCTCATATGTGCAAAGCTCGTTTCAAGCTCGATCCTCTTCTTCGAACTTTGTGTCGGTGGATCTCTGCCAACAGCTGCTCACTGTAGTTTGTTTTTTTCCAATTCATATGTGTCATCCTTGGGTGGGCCATTCTAATCTCCTCTGTATCATTCCATATTAATTTTAACGGATATCCGGAGCAATGCTTTCCGTGGTCAACACCCATGTGTGCCATCCTTGGGCGGGTGCCATTCTAATCTCCTCTGTATCATTCCATATTAATTTTTAACGGATATCCGGAGCAATGCTCTCCGTAGTCAACACCCTGTGGCCAGCACGTTCCACACACGGCAACGGCGGCGCGGATTTTTTTGGGCCTAGGAGTACAATTCACGAAAATATTGTGCACTCTTTCGAGAAGTGGTCCTCCCATTTAAAAGTAGTTTTTGTGATCCAGGTGAAAGGATGACTGGTCTTCAAATTTACGCGAAAAAACAGTTCTATAAGCGATAGTTGTGGGTCCTCTGTGAAAACATGAAGCACCATTCCCCCAAAAAATTTAACCCCCTTCAACCCCCGAAGAACCCCTTTATCTGCTGGCCATGTGTCACCTTGACACAAACACCCGTAGTACCCACTATGTCGCAGCCCTTAGGGCTGAGAATATGGTTGCCACAACGGTACCTTCGAAAAATGTAGGACCAGTCCTACCTTGTGCCTGGAGACTCGCAAAGGGTCCCAAAGTTTTGAAATTTTACGCTGCTCGATCCCTAAGATCTGACAGTGGCCAAGAGGCTTGGCCAAGGGCGGTGCGCAGCTTGTTGCAAAATGTTGAGCACGCATACTTTGGTCACCTTTTGTAATTATAATAATTGTTGGGAAAAAATGATAAATATGGGGGAACTTGATTGGATGCAAATCGCAAGCTCATTAGAACAAGCGTCACTGAATCAGTGTAGTGAAGTCAGTACGAGGTGTACAATAGTTACATGCAGTGCAGTGGGTCATGGGTACCTAGATCGGTTTCATGCCCACTACATGGTCTCCCTCAGAGGGATTTTCCGCCTCTCTTCTCCCTCGATAACTTTCTTGCTTTCCACTTCTCACCTCCGTCGTTGACCACTACACATCCTTGGACAAGCCAGTGAACC